CAATTTACTCATCAAACGATGTCATCAGATATGACTTCCAATTAACGTAAAAAAAGCCTAATTAACGACTCCTTAAATATGTTATAAATATGGCACAATTATATAATTGACGACAAATAAGTTCATAGTGGAGTCATTAATCATTGACTCACCACGTGCTTCACCACACATTGACTCACCATGTGCGTCGCCATTCATTGACTCGTCGCATGCAAGTCACTATTCATGATTCCATTCAGGATTTAAGCCTGGGGGCCAGGCACTACAACCTGTCCAGTGTTTAAGAACCATCACCCAAGTGACAATGTCCAATTGAACACATCTACTTATTAAATAGGTGCCAAGTCACCTAGAAATAATATAAATAAATAATTAAACCAACAAACAATAACAACGGGATTGTATAAACATCAACAAATCTCAAGGTAAACAGTGAGCATAACTAAGCAGCTCTGGCAAGGATATGAACAATCCCTCCCCCCCCTCTCGCACCTCCTTTTCAGTGAATGTACACTGAGTCTACTTTAGTCCTGGACAAAGTTCTGGACTAAAATATACTTCCTAGATGGTCAGTAAATTCGTATGTGGCCTTAACAACCCTCCAGAGGTTGAAGGGCCTCAATGCCCAGCACAACCACCAATTCTAGGGTCAGCAGGAGGGAACAGAAATCAATGATTAACCCACGTGTTCTGTTTGAAAGACCACAGTAAAAGAACACAGACACACTTGTGCGTCATCATTCTTGAATATCCACGTATGTGAGAACTACTCTCACAAAGTGCAACACTGAGATGAACAGCCCTACCCTGACCAATCACCAGCGAAACTAGTTATAGACGTTGGAGAAGAACAACTCTCGAAATCATCAACACTTAAACAACCATCCTACCGCTCTCTTGACTTACCACAATGGACAGAATATTTAGTGCTAACCTAACCTAACCACAAACGTACGAGCCCAAGCAACTCACCTAACCTAACCAGACGTTACATAGAAAACGTGGATATCTGTGAGCCGCTACTTTTCATAGAACTTTGTAATTTGTTCGTTGGAACGACAACGTACGAAATGAGACGTATTAGTTGAGAGGGAGTGTTGCTGCATCAAGCATATACCATGGACATATGTCAGTATACCATGTCATATACCATCGACCATGTCATACCATGTCAGTATAGCCTGACTACTTGAATACTACATAATACAATACATTTACAGATGTAGTCTGTAACTATCACTGAGATTTAACAACTCAGAGGTTACATAACACATAACCTTACTGTAACCAACATGAGTCATAAACACTCATCCACCGCAGAAGTAATACTCACAATAACGCGTTGTGGGGTCAGTCAGAGACTCAAGGCACGCACAGGACTATTCCTGAAATCATAGGAACAATAGATTAATAAATCATTCAAATCGTACTCTAATAGCCACATTACAATTAAAAATATACAGCATAGGCTTCACCAGCGAGGTGCTCCATTATACCCACCCTTCATACGTGGCTATATCATGAGTATACCTGCCTTGTATACTCATACGCGGCTATATCATGAGTATACCCTGCCTTGTATACTCATACGTAAACTCACCCCACCAAAAACAACAACAAAAATTAAAATAAATAAAAACTCATTTCTTAAACAGAAACTAAATACAAGAAACTGAACACACACACGAGGGGACCATATTATAGAACTAACAAAGTTCGCTCAGCAAATAATGGACAAGAAAAAAGCCTTTGAAGAACGGCCAAGAAACAAAACCCCTTAAAAGAACGGGCTATAAAAGGCCTTCAAAAGCACGACATTATGAAAGCAGTGAAGGGTGTTGTGGTAGTGGTGAAGGCGTGCGTATAACTCACTCTCCTCACCATCACCACCTTTAGGTTTCTTCACAATAATCACCGCAAATCTCCCTCACCATTACCACCAGGTTTCCGCACTATCTCCACCACTAGGCTGCTTCACAACTACCGCTGGTGGGGTTTAAGGAGAGGCGAATTTACGTTGATATTAAACAACCTAGAGGTTGATGATGTCTGGAAATGTGTGGTGAATATGGATATTATAGTGACCCTCAGAGAGAGAGAGAGAGAGAGAGAGAGAGAGAGAGAGAGAGAGAGAGAGAGAGAGAGAGAGAGAGAGAGAGAGAGAGAGAGAGAGAGAGAGAGAGAGAGAGAGAGAGAGAGAGAGAGAGAGAGAGAGAGAGAGAGAGACAAACAGACAGACAGAGATATAGTTTTATATTTACATATATACCTTACAGGCCTGCCATATCTATAATTTCCACTGTTCATTTATTCCATATCTTACTTCATAAATCCGGATCAAACTTCATGTAGATTATCAGAATCCCAGAGTCATTATTAAAAATATATATATATATATCCTTAATCCCATCAAATCTTGCATAAATCCAGCATCCAACACGCATCACAAACCAGGTTGGAAATAAACATCTATAACAAGGGCACGAGCTTCATCATGTAATCATTTCGCCTGGTTTGTGGGACGAGCCGGAGATAAGCGGCCACCCGAGGGGCCTGTGAGCGACGTGTTTACATACGTGCTTGGCCACCTAGTTGGAGAAATTAGAATTCGGTTTGTGTACAAAGAGCGAGGAGAGCCATCTAGTGAGATAAACTGGAACTAGAGTTGTTTACATGAAAGAGGGGCCATCTAGAGGGAGAAACTGGAACTAGATTTATTTACAAAGGGGAGGGAGAAACTGAAACTATTTTATGTTTCCATTGGAGTCATCTCGCGGGGGAAAGTCTTCAATTTAGGCTTCATTTATTATTTATTTTAGAGAGCAGACCCCTTAAAATGAGGTCCCTTCCCCACAAACTGGATGAGGATATGTCCTGGATTTGGGGTTAATTTATGGCTAATGTGACACATTAGACTTGATTGTCCGGGTTTATTTCTACAATTATTTTGTTTTTCTGTTATCTGGTAACTTTGTGCAGCCATAGTATTTGTCCATTTTGATAACTTGTTCTTGCGTTTGTGTCTGTTTATGTTTTACCAGTACGTGCCTAACAGAGATTGTACCTGTCTGTTTATTTGTCCATTTGTGGGTATTTTTGTATGAATCTCTGTGGAACCTGTCTGTGTTTATTTCTTTGTATGCAAATATTGTTTAGTCAAATGCGAATGCTATTTTCCTCAGCCCCTCTAAACTTGAACGTTTCTCGCCTCACACTGTCTCCCTGTCTGTTTCTCTCGCTTTGTCTTTCTCTGCCTGTCTGTCTGTCTCTCTCTCTCTCACTCACTTATCTTTATCACTTCTTCCCCTCTTTAAGAATGCACCGAAGAGCTAAAAGAGATAAGAGAAACGAAGAGAGAAGAGACTGAAGTAGATAAGATGTGAGGAGGAAGGATATGAAGAGTGGGGGCGGGGAATGGTGAGAAAAGAGAAGATTTATTATTATTATTATTATTTTCTACCACAGACGTGGCCGCACATTTACAATGCTAACCAGCATATATACATTTTCTTCTGTCCTCCATGGACAGGGTGAGAGATTTGTTAAACATATAGTTCAGGGATTTATTGAACAATCAACCACAGAAGGTGACTGTAGTGCTTTTAAAATGTTAAGCTAACCTACTTACGTAAATACATATATACCCAGATTTACGTATGCCCTTCATAAAGTGTTCGATGTGTCTTTTACATAGTATCATGAACGTGCATTTACAAAGGTGAAATGATGCTGATCAGCTTCCACATATACTTTATACACATACATATATATATATACATACATATATATATACATACATATATATATACATACATATATATACACACACACACATACATAAACATACATTTGTCTCAAAAGAGAAGATGGAAGATAAAAACGAGAGGCGAAACGAAAGATAAGATAAATGGGAAGACTAAATAGGAACAAAAGAGTGAAATGGGGAAGAGGTGAATGAGGGGATAAAGGGGACGAGAAGAAAGAGGGGAGATGTTGTGGGTGGGGGTGGGGGTCATATACTGAATGTTTTAACAGACTTCAAGTTGCCGGCCAACAGCTGCGAGCTACGAGAGAGAGAGAGAGAGAGAGAGAGAGAGAGAGAGAGAGAGAGAGAGAGAGAGAGAGAGAGAGAGAGAGAGAGAGAGAGAGAGAGAGAGAGAGAAGAAAAGTAATTAACAGAAGACTGATACAGAGCACGACTATCTGCCTTAAGAAACTACAATATTAAGACCTTCAGGTCTCCTGTGAACAGAGATGACGAAGGTGGAAAAACAGAAGGAAGGCTCTCTCTCTCTAGTTTCCTCTCCCACTTACTCTTGTCTTTCCTAAGAATGTAATTTAAGTTTTATTAGTCTGTCTTCATAATGAAGGTTCCAAATGCCTGTGATTAACGTATCATTCTTCTCTGTAAACTCTGAAGATAAATAACAGAAGAACTTTTCTTAGTTGATGTTTCGATATGTCTTGATACCCTTTTGGCTTCATTTCGATTATTTATAATAATTATAATTATATATAATAATTATAATATTATTATGCATTATCTTCACCAATTTAGAATCCTATTAATGATGACTAATATTATTTTTTAATTTAATTCTAAATATATGATAACCATGCATTCTTCCTGGGCTTTGAATTCACCATCTGAAGGCACTGAATTGCATTTGTTAATTGTTTGCTATTTTTAAAAATCTGTTTAAGTCCTCCTGCATTTTATCTACATCTTTGTCTTAATATATTTTTGCCATTTGTTAGCATCAAGTTTTCTAACGCTGGTACTGACTGTTGTATACAAATCGTTGATACGGTGAACAACGAAGAATCTTGGACGGCGCCCCAAAGCACTCTACCTATTTCTTGTGTGTGTTTCCACGGCCTAATCCAATTTTAGAGTTATCTTAGTCTACCACCCATACCTAATTCTCTCCACCTCGTCTTCACCACCACTGACCTCCAACTCTTCTTCACCACCACTGACCTCCACCTCTTCCTGACAGGCCCAACGCTTGCGTGGTGGAGGAGATCCCCAACACTGGAGGCCTGGAATTCTGGACGGAGTGTCGATACTGGCAGAACAGGAAGATCTGTGGACGCAAGACGTGAGTACTTCGACGGGTTATCTTCAGCCCATGAATGAAAAAATGGTTTAGGTGAGTTCTGTGAGGAGTTTATGACTCAGCTTTGATGAATCGGAGGTTGAACCCGAAAGATAAGTAGTTTAGATGTGTCCATGAGTAAATGAAGTGTACACACATGTTTAATGAGTTGATGAGTAAATGCCAGATGAATATAAGTAGTTTAAGTGCCAATTTCTGGTATGTATAAGTAGTTAGATATTGTAACCACTGGGGTACAATGTTCAAAAGCAATATATATATATATATATATATATATATATATATATATGTCGTACCTAATAGCCAGAACGCAATTCTCAGCCTACTATTCAAGGCCCGATTTGCCTAATAAGCCAAGTTTTCATGAATTAATGTTTTTTCGTCTACCTAACCTACCTAACCTAACCTAACCTAGCTTTTTTTGGCTACCTAACCTAACCTTACCTATAAATATAGGTTAGGTTAGGTTAGGTAGGGTTGGTTAGGTTCGGTCATATATCTACGTTAATTTTAACTCCAATAAAAAAAATTGACCTCATACATAGAGAAAAGGGTTGCTTTATCATTTCATAACAAACAAATTATAGTAAATATATTAATTCATGAAAACTTGGCTTATTAGGCAAATCGGGCCTTGAATAGTAGGCTGAGAAGTGCGTTCTGGCTACTAGGTACGACATATATATATATATATATATATATATATATATATATATATATATATATATATATATATATATATATATATAACTTTAGAACACTTTCCCACCAGGAGACTCGAACCCTAGCCAGCACAGAAGCCTTCCAGCAACTGGCATAACAGGTACGCCTTAACCCTCTCCACCACCCGCTCAGACCCTTAAAAGAGATGGTAATTTCGGAGTATTTAAATACCCCAAAGATCAACACCTCCCAAGAGCACCAGAGCAAGTGAGGGGTCATTTAGACGTTAATTTCATCAAGTCCCTGTTAATATGGGAAGACACAGTGTCTCTGCTTAAGGCACAACTCTCCTAAACACGAGAGTTAAGTATACAACTTTAGAACACTTTCCCACCATATTAACAGGGACTTGATGAAATTAACGTCTAAATGACCCCTCACTTGCTCTGGTGCTCTTGGGAGGTGTTGATCTTTGGGGTATTTAAATACTCCGAAATTACCATCTCTTTTAAGGGTCTGAGCGGGTGGTGGAGAGGGTTAAGGCGTACCTGTTATGCCAGTTGCTGGAAGGCTTCTGTGCTGGCTGGGGTTCGAGTCTCCTGGTGGGAAAGTGTTCTAAAGTTGTATACTTAACTCTCGTGTTTAGGAGAGTTGTGCCATATATATATATATATATATATATATATATATATATATATATATATATATATATATATATATATATATATATATACACACACTGAAAGACAAACTTCTCTGGCAACCTGCAAAAGCTGTGCGTTCCAGCAGCCATGAAGCAGAATGCACACTAATCCTGAACTGACTCTCCACTCCTCAACAGGAGGATCCGCTTTGAGTGTTGCGAAGGATTCGAACGAATCAACGGGCAAGACGGCTGCACCAGAGGTAAGATGGATTACTGGGTCTCAACCCACGTTATCACACACTCGCGCGACTAGTCTTCACCAACGGGTGAATTATACACATTGCAGCTTAATACGGGTAATGCAATACATAACAGTCAGTTATAACGCGTTATACGCAAATAATACGGAAGAACACCTTTGTCTCAATACAGCAACATATATAAAGCCTACTTAAATTAAATGTTAAAGTTTGTTTTTATGAATTTGATTTGTATAGTAGAATTAATATTATACCTTAATAAACATAAAAAACAGAAATTAAAGCAACAAAGTACAATATATAAAATGTAGTGGGAAATATTATATAAATATTATATAAATATTCTAACATTTTAAAATAAAATATTAATAAAATGCTATATACTGTAAATTATGACAGTGAAGCATACGTTTAACATACATACATATATATCATCTACATTGTTCTGCAAGTCTGGGAAACCAACCCGAGGGTTTGGTATACATAGGAGACAAATGAAAAACGGCATTTAACTTAACTACCACACTTGTCGGAAAATCCGACACCATTTAATAATAATATCATACAGACAGATAAGAGCTGTGTTGTATAAACAAGTTACCCATAGAAAACGTAACTTGTAGTGGAATTACCGTCTAAAGAAAACGGGATATCATCACCACATACCATTATAAATTGACCAGCTATTCTGCTGGGAATTATTCTTAAATACATTAGTCTTTGGACTTTACCATCATAAAAACATCTTATATAAATTAACTTAATTATCAATATTAAAGTAGAGTAAATGTGACCCTTCTATCACCTTTGGACATCTGGACAATGTAAGCCAGGCGTCAGACTGAGGAAGGAGGGCAGCCATTGTTATACGAGACCAGAGGCTCACACGGGAGCAAATTCGGCTCCTGTTAAATTTACTTGGACGTAGTGTTATGGAACCCAAAGGTGTACCATTGTCAACACGCTGTCTACAAATACAAATTAAGTGTCTATCCGAAACCCGTTTATCATTCATTTATGGCCATTAATGTCAGGATATAGGGTTAGCCGGTTAGAACGCGAAATCGCCTCATACTAAAGGTAATTAAGCCAGGTCTTTAATGTTCCATGTACTGTATAGTGTTTTCTCTGATATAGCTTGTCATATATAGGATTCTGGCTTCACAGCTAGCGCACTTTTGACAGGTCAAGACGAGGATGCAAGATTATGTGCACCAGTTACTGGGTGATAGAAGCTACCTCAAAGAGGATAATTTGGTGTCTACACTCTAGTTATACCTGGTGGACTAACCTGCTGTACTATAAGAGAAGGAACCTCATCAATGTATGTAGCTATTAATGTAGTTTGATTGGCTGCATATATATTAATTTAATAAACCCCCCCTAATGTGTAGAGGATCGATTTGTGAGATTGTGAGATTATTGCAGAAATACAGTCCACTTATCATTATACAAATTGCTATCGAAGTATATAAATTAACGTAAATATAAATTCATATAAATTAAATAAAATACAGTCCACTTATCATTATACAAATTGCTATCGAAGTATATAAATTAACGTAAATATAAATTCATATAAATTAAATAAATATAAATCTCACAGGTCGGTTCCCACATTATTTGGTCCTTCGAAACCGAATTATTTGGACCTTCGGAACCGGAATATTTGGTCCTATGAACCCACATTTGGTCATCTTAGTACCGGATGAACCAGTTATCCAGTGGATTCATTAAATATACTAGTGCAGTGTTATTTAAACAAAGGCCAGCCAGTCAAAGACAGCGGCGAAGCCTCGTGGGAGCTCAGGAGCCTCCCTCAGCCCAGTTCAGCTTCGTCAGCGGTTTCATGCACACCCACAGATATTTGGTGGCGTGTTATTTCGTGAAATGACAGCGCTAATATAGAATCCAGCCAAATTAGTGACTGTATCTTCGCGATATTGTTCACGGATTTCGTGGTGTTACATTTCGCGAGAGATTATCTACGAATTTTGTGGACTTTATTTCGCGAGGTCACTAATAATATTTAATACTTCTTGATAATATTAGAAGTTTCATAGAGGCTAATTAAGAGGCTATTATCAATAATTGTGTATATTATTTCTCCAAATAGAGAATTATTTCATATATATTGCACTAGTGATCACAGTATAATATTTACTAATTGCCAACCCACAACAGGGTAGGATATGACTAGTTGAACTATTATCGTTCATCCTAGTCCCATTATTACCATAGTCAGTTGTACTATATTGATTAACCTAGCACCATTAATGAATGGTCCAGACCCTATTTTGGGTGTAATTTTTATCAACTCGAGTTGAGTTGTATATATAATAAATTACTTATGATCATTACACCTTTGAGTGATTAATTAGTGTCTCTACCATCCTAGGGTGATATAGAAGAGCTAACCTAAAGGTACTTCCAGTGACACTGGTTTATCACTCAAATCATTAGTGTGTATGATTGTATATATATAATGTGTATTAATTTTAAGTGCTAACCTCTAGTAGAGGTAGGATTATTGCCTAGTGACCACAGAATTTACCCTAGGCTACCATCAGAGCTTGTTCAGTATTATGAGCAGCCCAAGTACAAGCCCCACAAGGCTTCACCAACGAGCCAGTATGGATAATGCAGGGAGAATGAAAAGAACCCTTGCAGGTCTTAAAGGCCACTTAACAAGACAGATCAAGAAATGTGAAGATTTGTCACAACAATCGACAGTTGATTATGCTGACCTGGAAAGCTATTATCAAGCAGCTGCAGGTAAATTTGAGCAAATTAAATGTCAAATAGCAACATATGTGGCTGAACTTGCCAACACTAATTTATCAGAAACAGAAATAGACGACATTATGGTTGATCTTGCGAATTATGAAGATCACACTCAGGCCACGTTACAGCCTTATGTCAAATTAATTGCCCAGAACAAGGCAACAGCAACAACAACAACAGTTGCATCTAATACGAGTCAAGCAGAAGCTCGACTCCCTCCAATTAATTTACCCACTTTCTCAGGAAAAGATGAGGAAGATTGGGACGAATTTTGGAACAAATTCGTTGACCTTGTAGACTCAAAACAATCTTTACCAAAGAGTAGTAAATTCTCTTATTTGCAAGGCCAATTATCAGGTGAGGCTAAAACAGTAGTATCCCATCTGAGATTAACTAATGACGGCTATGATCTGGCAGTAAAACTCCTCAAGGATAATTATGCTGATCCAGAAGTAAGAACATCACATTTAGTTCATGAGCTGTTGCATTTACCCCCACCGGAGGCTTCAGCTGATTCACTCCAAGTCTTCAAGCTGGAGGTAGAATCATTGATCAATGCCCTCAGCCTGACAGCAGATACAAACGGGGCTGAGTGGGTCTTGAAAATAATTGTCCAGGAGAAAATACCTAGGGACATATTGAGACAAATGAGTGCTCATTACAATAAAAGCATCTTATCTATGAATGAAATATCTGAAGGTTTAAAGTCAGTAGTTCATCAATTACGAACACATGACAAATTAAAACCACCAAGTAAACCCTCAGAAACCAATAATAGTAAACCACAGAGTACCAAAGGTACTCCAAATCAATCTAAACAATATAATTCAACACCAAAGTGGAACAGTGGCAGTGTGGGCGTATATGCAGTGGGACCCTCCAAGCCTATAGTTACTGTGTCACCCAAGAACATGACACCAAAGGGTACAGGAAGCTATGGAACATGTTTGTTCTGCAATGAGAAACATTCAATGTACCACTGCTCTAATTTTCCTGATAGTGACGCCCGTGTTGAGCGACTCAAAGATTTGCAACATTGCACGAGGTGCCTCAGGAAACATAACATCAAGGACTGTGATACCCAATTACACACCTGTAATAGGTGTAACAAAGGTCAACACCATGCAGCATTGTGCAGAGACACCAAAACACCGTCTCCAAACCCCAAGGTGGAAGATAGCATTCCCACCACAGTACAGTACTGCAAGGTGCAACCAACAAAGAGTGTCCAATCGGCAAAGTCTAAAGGTAATACGACTTTGCCTACTGCCCAAATTACCATCCTGAATAAGAGGGCCAAGGTCCATACCCGTGGGTTGTTTGACCAAGGATCCCAAAGAACATACATCACTAAAAGGTTGGCAGATGAATTACAATTAAGGCCTGTAGCCCAGATGTCATTCAACATCTCAGGGTTTGTAACAGATGCAGGACCTCAAGTCTACCAGGTGGTACAACCATCAGTACGCTTAGGCAGGTACGTCTGTCGAGTACAAGCCATTGTGGTGGACAAAATACCAGTAGACCTACAAGTTCAAGGTCTGCGAGCAACAGCCAAATTCCTGAGAAATAGAGGAATAAAATTGGCAGATAATATTAAGACTGATCACCTCACTGACTTCGGTCTCCTTGTAGGGACAGACTATTGTCATCGATTCATCGGTAGCCCTACTAAATATCAGGGTATAACCATGTTAAACTCTGCAGGAGGTAAATTACTCTCAGGCCCAGTATCAAACCTGAGGAGACCTAAGCCTGCAGATAAACAATACCAATAGAAATCTAAATTTGTCAGCTGATTATATTTCTCCAGTAGCATTATACTAAGGAGATTACAGCTGACTATACCAACAGAGGTTGATGTTAGTATCATCATTTGAAGCTGAAGATGAGTTCATGAGGCCTCAGTGGCAAATCAGTGAACAGTAGCCTAAAACAGCTACAAGTCACTGCGACCAATGTCACTGAACCCACTGCAGTCTCAGAACCATACTTTACTTTAATGATGAGCTATTCAGTCTTCTGAATCAATTAACTAAATTAAACCCCAATAAATCTGATGACTGATTTGATACATTTATTATTTAATCAAGATGTATTCCATGGGCCTCAGTGTTTATATATCAGTGACCAGTTACCTGAAGAAACTTCAAGTTATATCTAATGTCACTGATCTCACTGCAGTCCCTGAATCATACTTGACTGTAGTACTTGATCACATCCAGTCTTCTGGGTTAAATAATATGTAATAAGGCTTGAATATTAGCCTTTCAAGAGTTGACAGGGAAATGAAATCGCATTAGACTTCTAACCCCTGCAACTCTAGTACGGGACATCCGTCCTGTACGAACAGACGCACAAATGTGTGCTTACTAACTACTAACATCAAATTAATCTAATAATTCGAAGGAGGAGTATCGGTGTTCGTCTGTTCTAAATAGGACTTCGACCCGTGAGCAGCCCCCTGGGGAATTATGTCGGAAAATCCGACACCATTTAATAATAATATCATACAGACAGATAAGAGCTGTGTTGTATAAACAAGTTACCCATAGAAAACGTAACTTGTAGTGGAATTACCGTCTAAAGAAAACGGGATATCATCACCACATACCATTATAAATTGACCAGCTATTCTGCTGGGAATTATTCTTAAATACATTAGTCTTTGGACTTTACCATCATAAAAACATCTTATATAAATTAACTTAATTATCAATATTAAAGTAGAGTAAATGTGACCCTTCTATCACCTTTGGACATCTGGACAATGTAAGCCAGGCGTCAGACTGAGGAAGGAGGGCAGCCATTGTTATACGAGACCAGAGGCTCACACGGGAGCAAATTCGGCTCCTGTTAAATTTACTTGGACGTAGTGTTATGGAACCCAAAGGTGTACCATTGTCAACACGCTGTCTACAAATACAAATTAAGTGTCTATCCGAAACCCGTTTATCATTCATTTATGGCCATTAATGTCAGGATATAGGGTTAGCCGGTTAGAACGCGAAATCGCCTCATACTAAAGGTAATTAAGCCAGGTCTTTAATGTTCCATGTACTGTATAGTGTTTTCTCTGATATAGCTTGTCATATATAGGATTCTGGCTTCACAGCTAGCGCACTTTTGACAGGTCAAGACGAGGATGCAAGATTATGTGCACCAGTTACTGGGTGATAGAAGCTACCTCAAAGAGGATAATTTGGTGTCTACACTCTAGTTATACCTGGTGGACTAACCTGCTGTACTATAAGAGAAGGAACCTCATCAATGTATGTAGCTATTAATGTAGTTTGATTGGCTGCATATATATTAATTTAATAAACCCCCCCTAATGTGTAGAGGATCGATTTGTGAGATTGTGAGATTATTGCAGAAATACAGTCCACTTATCATTATACAAATTGCTATCGAAGTATATAAATTAACGTAAATATAAATTCATATAAATTAAATAAAATACAGTCCACTTATCATTATACAAATTGCTATCGAAGTATATAAATTAACGTAAATATAAATTCATATAAATTAAATAAATATAAATCTCACAGGTCGGTTCCCACAACACTGAAGATCCAGATCCAGAACCCATTATGTGACTAACATTATTGCCACCGCCCACAGGATGGGAATGGGGGTACAGCCCCTACTTACAAAGTGGTAATGGGGGTCTATAGCCCCGGACACAGAGTTGGTATGGTGTCCACCAACATACAGGATGAATTTGCGAGTACACGATAAACTCAACCAAAACGCTTTCTTTACGGGCTATTCATGCCCATGCCACCTGTTGGGTGGCTTAATCTTCATCAATAAATCATCAACGCTTTCTCTCATGCACTGGTCTCTTCCCCTGCCGCAGTCAAACCTCTGATGAACCTGCTGGAGACGGCGGAGAGTCTAGGCGCCACCAAATGGGCCCAGTACATCAGGGAGTCCGGCCTGGCGGGGGAACTGGAGTCCGCAGCTGCCTACACACTCTTCGCCCCGACCAACGAAGCCTTTGACGTACGTGTCTAGGGAAGAGGGTGAATGGAAGGGAGGGAGTGAGGGAGAGGAGGGGAGAAAAGGCAAGGAAGTGGGTGGGGAGAGTGATTTTTTACATAATGTCGTCTTATTCTTTATCCTCTGGTTCCTGTCCACGAGACAGAATAAACGTGGGATCGCCGGACTGTTTCAAGTTTAAAGTAGTCATTGGACATTAACAGGAACAATCTCATATGAGACGAGAGACCTTCTGCAGCTATTCCGTCACTCTTACGTTGTACCTATATGCTCGTGCGCTTGTCAGTCACCCCTCTTCCTCTTCCCCAGAACCTGCGGAGGTCGCTTAGGAGCCAGATGGAGTCGTACCGCGGCAACCCCAACAATCCCATCCTACTCTACCACATCCTGCCCACCAAGCTGCTCAGCGAGGAGTTCCAGTCCAACACCATGGCCGAGACCCGTCATCAAGGTCACAACATCAGGATCAACAAGTACTCTAATGGGGTACGTACCGCCCGTTTTCTTCCTTATAAAGGGGCATAAGGTGCCCTGGTACGTGAATAAATGGGTAAGGAGCCCTCCCCATATATATATAATTAGGCACGGGTGCCCTTGTGTATAATATATATATATATAATGGGTATAAGGTGCCTTTGTGTAATGTAACTAGTCGCCTGGTATAACTAATTTGAAAGATATTGTCTTAATTTCAAAGACATTTGTCGGAGATGAGCGAGATATTTGACAGCGTTGGTGTACCAGGTGACAACTTTGTGACGTCACATCCTGGAGAGTGACTCGTCTACATTCTACTCAACTACAAGTTGGGGGTTTTAACTTTTGCTCAAGTACTTTATTTTGTATAATGTTGTCTATTTTAATAATAATAAATAATAATAATTAAAATAAAAGCATGTCAAACATGTGGCTCGCGGGCTGCATGCGGCCTTTTGCAAGCACACCTGCGGCCCACACAAAGGATAGTGTAATTTGGTATATAATATAATATAATATAATAGAAAAAATATTCTGCTGTAATTTTTATTAAATGACTTCAATTAGTTGTGGTGTATGGCCCTCATGATAACATAAATGTCACCCGTATGGCCTTCTGGGGAACCCCTCAGTTTGACTCTAACTGCAATTATTAAGCCTTATTGCAGGAATAAGTAACCAATTTATTGTTTTTTTTCGAAAACTCGTGCAAAACGAGTCTCGTGGGGTTCCATCCTCTCGGTGGACACACTGCTTCCAAGTCTAAACAAATAAAAAAAATAGAAAAAATATTCAAACAGGTTGTTTGTCTCCTACAGATGACCACCATCAATTGTGCCTTGTTGATTCGCAAGGACCAACACGCTACGAACGGAGTCGTTCACCTCATCAACAACATTCTCGACCCCTCCGTGGGCATCCTGCAGAACGTGGCCGACATGGTCCTGAACGTGAGTATACCCACTGAACCTGATCTCCTGGGACGGGCATACAGAGGTCAGTTAATTTATATAGTTTCCCCAGTTCTTTGTACACTATCCGGCATAATGCAGGTCAGTTGTTGGCCTGCATATCTAGTGTCTCGCAGGGGAAACTTTTATCATTGATGTATATCAATCTTCTTCCTTCCCTGTATGTGGACTCATGTATCCATCTTGAACCAGTTTGTGTACTTATGTATCAATCTTGAACCAGTTTATGTACTCATGAATCTATATTGAACCAGTATCGATCTCATGTATCGAACTCTCCATCTCGTAGGACGGGCGGTTCTCGGTGCTGGCGGAGGTCCTGGAGAAGAGTGGCTACATCAACGTCCTGCGAACAATGCAGGACTCGATAACGATCCTCGCCCCCTCAGACGAGGCCTTCCAAAAGCTGCCCGAGTCTCGCAGGGAGAAGATCATCAACGACAGGGAAGCCAGGCTCGGTCAGTCAAATGCTGTTTAGGACTTGTAGTTTTTGGGTTGACAGAGGCGACGGGAAGAGCAGTAAGGTAGCGCGTGTTTGTTTATGCGCAGTTAACATCTTAATCTCCCGCCAAACACTGAACGTAATTCTATATTTACATGGTTACAAAGCTGTAATAACGCAATAACATTACCAAAAAAGTCATATTTCTAGGATATCATCAATTTCACCAACGAGTAGCCGTAAGAAGGATAATTTATGCAATAAATACATGAAATATCCATATGTTCAAAACCCTCCTCTCCCGGCCACAGCTCTGATCCAGAACCACGTGATTCCTCATGTTATCTGCGAGTCGGCCATCACGGGCGAGCACCGGGTCAAGACCGTCTCCGAGAACAAGCTGACCTTCAACTGCGACATCGAGGGAGCCTTCGTCGAGACCTCCAAGCTCAGGGGCAATTATAACCTGGGCAAGAACGGCATCATTCACATGATTGACGACGTTCTTCTCCCGGACAGAGGTAGGCTGCTATATACAGGCTCTTCGGGAGAGACTAAACTAGATCGAGGTGCCTCTTGGCAATCTAGTCGATGTTGCACTTCTGGTTGCTGATAACGAGGAAGGAAAACTTTAAGTTGAGACTTAAAGCTTTATTTAAGATGGCATTTCACCTGCAATGGCTTTATCATATGTCTTAACACAATAATAGACAGGAAAAACTGTAGGTGCAGTGGATGACCCGTCACTCGGTCTGTCAGATTGAGAATGTTCACAATTCTTATGTTGGCGTTTAGTCACGAGATTCCTTATGTTCCAAATGACATGTTTTGTAATGGATTTTCGAGCCGACGAAGACTTATCTAGCACCGGTGTTGCCAGATATATACCAAGTACCAGTATAGTCAGGTATACAATTAGTGGTGAAGCCAGATATACGTTCACTCTACCCCAACCACACTCATAATCTTCCCATGTTAACATGTTAATCTCCCCCTACAGCCAAAAACCTGGTGGAGCTGGCAGAGAGCCGGAAGCTCTTCACCTTCGTGGAGCTGGTGAAGAAGGCGGGGCTGGAGGAGACACTGAGCCACACAGGGGACTACACCTTCTTCGTTCCTGACGAGGCAGCGTGGTATGGTAGGTCCCCTTAGCACCTTCTGGCATTAGGGGAATTGGGTGGGTGACTCTCACGAGTCAAAGGATCTTCACAAGTATGAGAGAAACATACAAATCTAATTCTCAAGATTCCTTTGTAAGGCATTTGGAGTAGGTCACTCTGGAGTAAGGTCTTTGATTAATTTCACTGGAGTTAAGAGTGTTCAGGGAGAACAAATGATGAGCAAATTTGACATCACGTGGGAGTCGGGTCAATAATGGCTCGTTCTATGGGATTACGTGATAATCTGTTTTAATATATTCAAATAACACATTCTTCCTCACAATTATCAGCCATATATAAAGTCACCGATGCTATCCTAACATTGTATATATATATATATATATATATATATATATATATATATATATATATATATATATATATATATATATATGGCGTAATAAAACAATATTACGTACAACTATATCACGTGTTTTTATGATTATTCTTGCCTATATACATATATCTATAAATCTGATCCTGAGACAGCTAAATGTTTAGGCACCAGACGACAGGTTCTCATGCAACCATCCTTGTCTGAGCGGATTCATTTAATCTGTTTCATTGCTATGCTTTCTACAGCGCTCGATTCCGACGTGCTGAACGCCGCCCGGAGGGATCTGGACCTGGCGGGGCAGCTGGTGCGGTTCCACGGGGCCTATGGTCGCCACCTGACCAACGCCATCACCGATAACCAGGTGAGAGAGACGGTTAGGGAGGTAGTGAGCGAGGGAGGGATTAAATGTAGGAGGTTATCTTCTTATCTTGAGATGATTTCGGGGCTTTAGTGTCCCCGCGGCCCAGTCCTCGACCAGGCCTCCACCCCCAGGAAGCAGCCCGTGACAGCTGACTAACACCCAGGTACCTATTTTACTGCTAGGTAACAGGGGCATCGGGTGAAAGAAACTCTGCCCATTGTTTCTCGCCGGCGCCTGGGATCGAACCCAGGACCACTGGATCACAAGTCCAGCGTGCTGTCCGCTCGGCCGACCGGCTCCCCACACCACAAGAAAAATCTCTCCAGTTCATATTCCAACTTATTCTACTCAACCCCCTCAATTTTCCCGTAGTTTCCCCTCACCAGTCTTCGGCACCGAGAAATGTGCAGTAGAAGTGCATATAGACTTCTCAGTGTACATGCGACTTGATTATTCTGCATGACTCTAGTATACTTGCTGGTGGCAGGTCAGTCAGTCAGCTCTTGTGACGATCTCAACAACACTCGTGCGATTGACAGCCCAGCACCGCATCACGCCCCTCTTTCTCTCTCCCTTCAGGCCATCATGTCCCTGAACGAGAAGGATCCAGTACGCTTGCAGGTGTGGCGTCGAGCCCTCGGTGTGGAGGACGCCAAGATCACGGAGAAGGACATCGAGGCACAGAACGGCGTCATCCACATCATCAACAAGGTCATCGTGCCCTCCAACCAGTCTGTCGGGGACATCCTCAGGTCCATCCCTGACCACAGTTTCAAGTGAGTTGTGCGAGGTTATATGTTGTTTTGTTTTGTGTTTTTGTTTGTCTCAATCTTTCTCTCCTCTCTTGTTCGTAATGCCTATTATTTATGTTGTGGTTCAAATAAAACAAGATTTCATAGATAAAAAGGTCATTGTGAAGCATGACGTCACAGACAAGCGATTAAAACCTCAGTTTAGAACCAATTAAGTTCTTCTGAGACTCTTCGTTAGTGAGTGAATCCTGGCCTGGTGGAGAAATTGATAGTCTCGTATTTTTCAGGCCCGGGTTCAAATCCCCGATGATCCAGATGAGATAAATGTCCCTATACCTACAGGAGCTTATCATTCACTAGCAGCTCTCAATTCCTTCACTGGCCTGGTGAACAGGACCAGGATTAATCAAACTCTTAAGTATCCATCAACGAAACCAGTACATCTTTCCTCCTTCATGGTTACTTAGTTTGCATTTAGTTTACGAACTTGGAGTGATACGACGATTACCTTATTTTGTTCATAACAATAAAAACATCGGATCGAGAACGATCTTACAACGTTTCAAAGTCATTCTCGAAGAGTTTGAAACGTTTACTTTACAAAGTAAACGTTTCAAACCTTAAAGCTTACTGTTTAATACATACAAAGCCACTATTATCGTTGAAAGATGTACAGGTTTCGAAAGTGGACACGTAAATGCTTGACGAATCCGGGCAACGATCTCACTCCAGTCAACTAAACAATGATACCACAGTTAGTGGGGTTGTGAGCCTTTGCAGAGGAGGGAGGGAGGGGATGTTGTCCCTCTCCCCCCCCCCCCTCCTTCCTGGTAATTTCTGCCTTTTATTGTGGATGTCTTTGAATGATTCAAAATCAATATTTTCCTGTATATCTTCCTGTCTAGTAATATGTAATTTTTACCTGATTATCTGTTTATTCTTTTTGGGAGGGCTTCCTGTCTATTTAACCATTTAAGTAAGTGTTTATCTGTGCGTCTATTCACGCCGCTAACTGTCTACCTGCAGCACATTCCTCGAGGCGATAGACACGGTCACCCCCCAGGGCAGCTCCATGCTTAGTCTCGGACCTGGAGACGAGACCTTCTACACCTTCTTTGTGCCCACCGACTCTTCCTTCAGGTCCCTCGGCCAGGTAAGTGAAGAGTCATCTTCAGGTCCCTCGGCCAGGTAAGTGAAGAGCCATCTTCAGGTCCCTCGGCCAGGTGAAAAAGGTCCTTACCCTACAAGTCTTCTTGACGTGAGTATCTGAATCTCGTACCCAGTTGATGATAAACATAAAAACTATTTTTTGTTGATGGATTCCTAGCATCTCTTCCTGAAGAATTACTAATGTTAAGGAGGTTCAGATTTATTCTTCACAAATCAGTTCTTTTGACTTTTTGTTTTGTTGTAATAAACAAAAAATGAACGGATTTTCCTACTTACAAAAATCCAAATTATTTTATTGTTAAGTGTATTGTCTTACTCAGGGGAACCTATTTAAACTATTACTAATTACCCATAGATGCTAATTAATCACTTCACGTTCCTTCAATAATTCCCTTTACTCTACACCCTTATTTATAATGTATATAGAACGAGAACATAAAATTTAGCGTCAATTCTCCTAGTCTAACATTCCCTCAGTCAAATTTTCCAGCAAAAATTTCCAACTGAGTCTTAAACCTTCTGCAGGAGACACTGTCGAGGCTGAAGACTGACGAGGAATACGTGAGGGACTTGGTCAAGAGTCACGTCGCTGTCAACATGTTTCCCTCAACTTCCTTTGAAAGAAAACTTATCTACACTATCAATGGCATGGGAGGACCCTTCGATGTCACCAAGACCCACGATAACATCCTTAAGGTGAGCAGAGCATCCATTGGGTTACTGTGACTAAGTTAGTAAGGTATCCTTAAAATGATTATGGTATCCTTTAGGTTAGTATGGCATCCTCAAAATGATTATGGTATTCTTAAAATGATTATATTATCCTTTAGGTTAGTATAGTATATTTAAAATGATTATGGTATTTCTTAAGTTAGTATGATATCCTTCCAATCCCTTTGGACATCAAAGCTAAATAAGCTAAGTAAGATATCTTTTAGGTGAGGGGTATCCCTCAGGAGTTGGAACCTTATGACTAGATGACAATTTTGCATGAAACTACAACACAAATGCATAATAACATATAAGTTTCTTAATTAAGTTGTACATCCACTTTACGATATTTTTGTTTTTTAAATTTAAAACATCATTGATTGAAAAATTAAATTAACTAATATTTTAAAAGAAAAAAATACATAAAAATATTTACTTCCTGTGCTTATTAAATTTACTTCCGTTTGTTTATTAAATCTTAGAGTATTCCCAGGATTAAATTACAATTACTGTTAATCAGCAAGCTAGTGTGTGGATAACTATAATAACCCTACAATTGCTGTCAGCTTAACTCGAAACTATATCTGTTACAACGCGTTGGAATTCTTCTAATAATCTCAGAATCATTTGGTTTACTGAAAATTATAAAAACTATATATAAATGCAATATTTTATCTTGTAAACTGATGTAAAAATTATCTTTATATTTTATATTATTTAATAAAGAAAAAAAATATTAATCTCAGATTAAATTGTTATTCCAGAAAGTTTATAACACAGCTCTATTTTTGTCTCTTAATATCTCCAAAACCGTCAAAGAAAATAGGCTTAAATTTAATGTCCATTTGTGTTACAAGTGTATTATACAATGCAAACTTTCATGATAGTATCCAAACAAGTTCTTATATATACTGACGTAATATCTCATAATCTATTTCACAGGATTGCTGAATAAATATTTTTGCTTTCGTTTTAATAATTTGTTTTGTCGTGGGACAGGCAGCCTGTGTATGTATTTACGTTAGCCTTATATCGCAGCCCATCTTCCTGTTTATAGAGTACTTGTGGAAGCGATTTGGACAGTACATATAGTATATTAAATAGGTACTCCTGGGTACCAATTTACTGCTAGGTGAACAGAAGCATTAGTTGAGAGGTAATGTGCCCAACCATTTCTGTTCTGCCCCAGGATTGTACCATTTAACATATATATATATGTTAAGTGATACAACACAATATCACTTAATGCTCTTTGTGAATGTTAAATATATTTAGACTTATTAATCCACAAAATACTATTTGGATTATGATTATATTTTGTACTTGTACAACTTAGGGTTCTGTATGGCATATACACTTTTACACATTGATCACCATACAGTTAAGGGGAAACTTAAATGATGATCTATTAATGATGTACAATGTGCTTATTAATAATTATCTATTAGATTAAGGAGCCTGCATGAGACGCTATGTGTGTTAGTGGCTTTGCAGGAATGTAAAAACACCAATGTTATTTACTCCCACAAACCCAATGTACCTTCTTGTATATATAAATAAATAAACGACCAAACCACGTATCAGAAACGACGACGTTTCGGGCCGTCCTGGACCATTATCATCAAGTCCTCACACACGACTTGATGATGATCCAGGACGGACCGAAACGTCGTTGTTTCTCCATTTTTTAGTGTATGGTCTGGTCATATCTTCAACTACGTTATTGTCACTCATCGTCTCCACGGGAACATAAAATATTTCAAGCAAGTTTCAGATTCAATAATGTGTTATCAGTATAGTTTGCGGGGATTCCTTACCGTCACAAGAGTTATTGCCTTGGAATATGTCACATATATACTTATTTATAAGCGAAATAGTGACTATAAGCAATAAGTCCTATATGTGCTGTCTTGTGCGAGAGCGGGATGAATTATTATAGGTTCGAAAGATCACCTGAATCTAAGCTTACCAATTCATGAAATGGATGATGTCCATAAATTTTACATAACTGATGAAAATAATACTTTTATCTTACCTTACAAAGTATTGCTAGAATTGAGCGTAGCAATGTTAATCAACTTGATTAACGTCAGAGTTCCTATATTCCTATCGAAACCATGTTACCAAAACATATCAGTTTTATATAAATTATCTTTAGTTATTGACGTAATGCTAGCCAGATTATGCATTTTAATTTATAATTAAATTAATGTAATATTAATAATATAGTTACTGTAATATCTATAATATAATTATTGTAGTATCAATAATGTAATTATTTTATAAGTCAATAATTATTTTATGCCAATAAATTTGTTGATGTAATTTATCGTCTTGACACCCACATTAGTGCTTTCAATTTTATTTCATTTTAATAATAGAAACTCCGTAATTTTTACTTTCTCCAAGGAATGGGTTTATAGCGGTCATAAATAATATAATAATAATAAAATGTATAAGAATGTCATAATTTATATTTTGCATCTCACTTAGTTTGTCAAACAGTTCTGTCTGGCCAACACCTGCATGAACAGCTTTGCCTTTAGCTATGATAGGTACCTATGGGTGAATCTATCAATCTTCCTATCACTGGCATGACAAACAAAATGTTATTTAAATTAACTACTTTTCTTTGAGTTGTAGCTGAAAGTTGCTGAGTTCCATTTTCTGTTTAATTGTAGGCAACGAAAAACGATTCGTTGATATAAAAATGAACTCATTCCATGTTGCACTATTGTTTATTTATTTATATTCAAGCAGGTACATTGGGTTGTGAGAGTACATAACATTGGTGTTCTTACATTTTTGCAAAGAAACTAAAATGCACAGCGTTTCGGCAGGTCTAACAGGGAAATGTAAAAGTAACTTAAAGGTACAGTGAAGTAGAATTTGATTTCAACATAATAACTACAATACAAACTGATTGAATTAATTATACTGGTGCTGTTGCGTACCTTAAGTACTAAAATTGGGTGAGAGGGTAGTACAAGATACAGTGTGAGTTTGAAGAACAAGGTAAGGAACTATGAGGAGATAATTAGGTACTTTTGGGTTTTACTTTTGAATAAAGCATAGGTTCGACATTTTTTTAATTCAGTGAGTGCGTTCCAGAGACTGGGTCCTTTTATGTGCATGGAGTGTTTGGACATATTTAGTCTGACTAGGGATATCAAAGAGATATTTATTTCTAGTGTGGTGCTCATGGATTGTTTTACATCAATCAAGGAAGAGTTTCAAATCAGGATGTGTTTAATATTACGATGTGTTCCATTTTTCGGGAACAGGTTTTCGGGAACCTCGATAAACCCAATAGGAGCCTGTTAGGTTTATCGAGATCTCCTAGGATTACGCCTGTGCTTCCCTTGAATGTATGCTACAATGTTTGATAACAGTCGAAACATTATTTTAATGTTAATATTTGTATTCACAGGTAAATGGCGAAGAGGTACTCAGCTCCCACATGAGTGCTAATGGTGTCATTCACGTCATCGATAAAGTGTTTTTGCCTGAGAACTCTTACACCTACTCCACCGTCAAGAAGGTTACCACAACCACTTACAACAATGGTGGAGCAGGAGGCGGTGGAAGAGCCTCCTCCTCATCTACCTCCAGGAGGGTTTCTCATAGAACATATAAGAAAGTGACATTTGCTGAGGCTCAGGACGGTGGAGACCCCAACAACCGACTTCCAGCCTTTCATCAAGGTACTGTGAACTCTGCTAGTGCCGTCAGGAGGAAGCCTTCACGAGGGCAGTCCAGGAGGAGGACCACATCCTCCTCCTCCTCCTCTCCAGGTGTAACCACTAGTAGCACGACCTCCTTGCCAGACGACGTGAGGAGTAACCCTGCCTCCAATGGTGGCACCACCTCCCTTGAGGAGACACACCTCCAAGGCTCTGGATTCTCAGCACGTGAATCAGAAGCCCCACTGAATTCCCTCAGTAACTCACCAGCGAGTGGCCGGGACATGTATGACCTCCCAGAGCCAATTGAACCGGGACTTAAGGACGTCTACGGTTCATCTTCTGTTTCAAAAGTCTCTCAGAATAAGCCATCAGCCAATGAACCGGGACTTAAGGACGCCTACGGTTCATCTTCTGTTTCAAAAATCTCTCAGAATAGGCCATCAACCAATGAACCGGGACTTAAGGACGCCTACGGTTCATCTTCTGTTTCAAAAGTCTCACAGAATAGGCCATCAGCCAATGAACCGGATCTAAGGGACACCGACGATTTGTCTTCTGTCTCCAAAGTCTCTCAGAATAGGCCATCAACAAGTGATAGAGCACCACACGATGTCTTAGACCCCGTTGAACCGGATCTCAGACACATCTACGGTTCATCCACTGTTTCAAAAGTTCCTCAAAGTAAGCCATCAGCGCGTCGAAGAAACCCAGAGCCAATTGAACCGGGACTTAGGAACACCGACGGTTCATCTTCTGTTTTAAAAGTCTCTCAGAATAGGCCAACAGCCAATGAACCGGGATTTAAAGACGCCTACGGTTCATCTTCTGTTTTAAAAGTCTCTCAAAATAGACCTCCAGTAAGTAGCCAGGACCCATATGACGCCCCACAGACAACTGAACCTAGTCTTCGAACTGATGGTTCTTCATCTGTCACAAGAGAACCTCACAGTAGGCTCCCATCACGTGGAAGAGAACCATACGATGGTTCTAAGCCTGTTGAACAAGGTCATAGTACTGACGGTTCTTCCTCTGTCTCAAGAGAACCTCACAGTAGATTACCACCACATGGAAGAGAACCGATTGATGGTTCTGAGTCTGTTGAACCTGGTCTTAGAACTGATGGTTCTTCCTCTGCCTCAAGAGAACCTCACAGTAGGTTACCACCACGTGGAAGAGAACCATACGACGGTTCTAAGCCTGTTGAACCAGGTCTTAGTACTGATGGTTCTTCCTCTGTCTCAAGAGAACCTCACAGTAGGCTACCATCACGTGGAAGAGAACCATACGATAGTTCTAAGCCTGTTGAACCTGGTCTAAAGACCGACGGTTCTTCCTCTGTCTCAAGAGAACCTCATAGTAGGCTCCCACCACGTGGAAGAGAACCATACGATGTTTCTGAGCCTGTTGAACCAGGTCTTAGTACTGACAGTTCTTCCTCTGTCTCAAGAGAACCTCACAGTAGGCTCCCACCACGAGGAAGAGAACCGATTGATGGTTCTGAGTCTGTTGAACCTGGTCTTAGTACTGATGGTTCTTCCTCTGTCTCAAGAGAACCTCACAGTAGATTACCACCACGTGGAAGAGAACCGATTGATGGTTCTGAGTCTGTTGAACCTGGTCTTAGGACGGACAGTTCTTCTTCTGTCTCAAGAGAACCTCACAGTAGGCTCCCACCACGTGGAAGAGAACCGATTGATGGTTCTGAGTCTGTTGAACCTGGTCTTAGTACTGATGGTTCTTCCTCTGTCTCAAGAGAACTTCACAGTAGATTACCACCACGTGGAAGAGAACCGATTGATGGTTCTGAGTATGTTGAACCTGGTCTTAGGACGGACGGTTCTTCTTCTGTCTCAAGAGAACCTCACAGTAGGCTCCCACCACGTGGAAGAGAACCATACGATGGTTCTAAGCCTGTTGAACAAGGTTATAGTACTGACGGTTCTTCTTCTGTCTCAAGAGAACCTCACAGTAGACTCCCATCACGTGGAAGAGAACCGATTGATGGTTCTAAGCCTGCTGAACCTGGTCTTAGGACTGACAGTTCTTCTTCTGTCTCAAGAGAACCTCACAGTAGGCTCCCATCACGTGGAAGAGAACCGATTGATGGTTCTGAGTCTGTTGAACCTGGTCTTAGGACGGACGGTTCTTCTTCTGTCTCAAGGGACTCTCACAATAGGTCCCCACCACGTGGAAGAGAACCGCATGATGGCTCTGAGCGTAGTGGGGCAACTGAATCCGGTCCAAGAGACAGATACGGTTCATCTTCTCTCAACACCCGCATGCCTAATAAGAACACCGAAGGCTCGTACACGGTCCGAGAAGGATCGTACGCGTCTCCTTCATATAAACCTTCCTCTGCTTCCTCTTCTTCAGCTATTTCGACCTTTGCATCTAATGCCGAAGTGACCCAAGGCGAGGCGGACGACATCGAAGTACCTCGTCATCGCGGCTCGCCTCAGTCTTCCGCCTCTTCAGGCCGTAGTCGTCCTGACTTGCATGGCGCCGATGTTCCCTCTTCCTCTCTTTCGAGCACCTACGACCTCTCAGCTACAAGGACAAGGCAGGAGGCTTCGCGTTCTCTAGGACATGGCAGACCTGACTCCCCCGATGATGCTATTTCACGTGGCTCTGGAGTAGACTCCTCAGGTATACCGGGCGTGGTATATCCTGCTGAGTCTGGTCACTCTGGAAGATCAGACTTGTCTGGAAGATCAGGCTACTCCCGTGTGACAGGCTACTCACCTGTACCAGGCCACTCAGGTAGATCAAACTATTCCAGAGGCTCTTTGTCAGGCTCTGGTTACTCTCTTGACTCTGACTCTGGGTCTGACTACACTAGTGGCTCTGGCTACTCCGAGGGCTCTGGGCACCCTGAACGCTCTGGGCATTCCGGAGGCTCTGGGCATTCCGGAGGCTCTGGGCATCATAGAGGCTCTGTACACCCTGGAGGTTCTGGGTATTCTATAGACTCTGTGCACCACAGAGGCTCTGGGCACCATGGAGATTCCGGACACCCTGGAGGCTCTGGGCACCATGGAGGTTCTGGGCATCATGGTGGTTCTGGAGACCATAGAGGTTCTGGGTATTCTAGAGGCTCTGGGCACCCTGGAGGCTCTGGTCACCCTGGAGGCTCTGGGCACCCTGAACGCTCTGGGCACCCGGGAGGCTCTGGACACCCTGGAGGCTCTGGGCACCCGGGAGGCTCTGGACACCCTGGAGGCTCTGGGCATCCGGGAGGCTCTGGGCACCCTGGAGGCTCTAGACACCTGGGAGGCTCTGGGCACCCGGGAGGCTCTGGGCACCTGGGAGGCTCTGGGTACCCTGACACTAACACCGGCGGGGCTCATGGTTTCTCCTCTTCTCGGAGGTATTCTTACAACTACTCCACCAGTCTCGGAGGCCTTCAGCCCGGCGGGCAGATAGACCTCTCACCCTCCAATTATGGCTTGGGCATTTTCACTACCAACTCTTCCGCACAAGGCAAGAACTCTGTCCGGCCAGTGACTAGCGAGGGGGGCAAGTTCAGCTATGTGGGACATCCATATGGACAAGACATAGTAGGACACACAGACACAGTCGCTGACAAGGTGAGGCCAGCACCTCTGCCCTTCATAGTCGGAGCTGAGGGCCTCAGGTCCCTTGATGGTGGTGTGGAGGGCGAGGGAAGGGTTGGTACCCGACGACATGAGTATCACTTCTCCCGCGTTCAGGAAAGAGTGCCGGGAAGTACCGATGTAAACAGCGAGATTTTGAAAAGCAGAGGCAGAAGTAGCATGAGCAGTACAACGACCAGAACCAGCACCAGCCGGAGACGGTACGGTGTGACTCGTACGGTGGTGACCTCAGGCACCCAGCCAGGGCTACCACTGGCTCACCAGCACCCTCACACATTCCCACTAGAGTCAGGTGACCTCTCCTCGAGTCGGGGTGGTAAAGGAGCCTCATCTTCTGTTTCAGCCTACGTCGCCTTCACAGGGGACGACGGTATTCACGGCGACGGCACCGACTTAGCTGAGGTCAAGTCAGGAGCAGAGACGATCATCAGCCGCAAGGAGGCGGCCGCACTCCGCAGACGCTGGCGCCGCAAACGCCATCACAAGCGTGGTGGGAAGAAACGCCGCGGCCGCAAGGGCGGGAAGAGCAAGGCCGCATCCCCTCAGTAACGACACCTTCAGAGGGGCACACTCCAGTGAGTTGTGTCCCCCCTTCCACCAGTGTGAAGATGCCAGGTGGGGCCTTTCCTCACCTGGCTTCCCACTGTAGTGAATCACTGCCTCTCTTCTTACCCTCTTCTAACCTATCTTCTTCAGTATTTTAAGAAAACATTACTTAAAAGAATATCGCATTATTTTAATACCATACAACAGCTACTTATATATTTTTTGTTGCATATTTGTTTATAAGTGTGTGAGGCCATAGTGGAGACCAGCCATGTACAGTGTAGAGACAATCATAAGTTTGAGAGACTGTTCCCGAGACCAACTCTTTACTCCGTTTGTATCCTAGTGCTTTAATGTGTGTTATAACAACCCTATTATGTATCTTTATATCTTTAATAAAACACTAAAAATGGCCTGTGATGTGTATATATCTCTCTCTCCTTGTGGTGCTTTATCATGCTCTCAGACAGACCCCAGTTTGTACGTTGCTCGACACCTTGAAAGATGGAGAAAAAACTCTTGAAAGATACACTCAGCAGGAACATGACCCCTACCAGCACTAACCAGAGGACACGCCTCACTATATACCACAAGAAGAGCACCAACTTGTTCAAGAAGAACTTCTCCGACACCAAACAGAACGATTTGAATAAGACGAAGCCAATGCCTTAACATACCACTTGGGGGGGACTGTCAACCTCAACGATCTCAATACATAGGCAAGACAATAAAGATCTCTATCTCAAGTCACCTAACGCCGCACACGAAAGAAGGCTCACTGAGGGGGTCACATCTGGTCGACACACAACCAGACACCGTCAGAGATATCCTGACCAGCAAGCACCGTGATGATAAACAAAGTCAACAACAGATTAAACACATTTGATGTCCTGCATCTAAAACAGTTTCATTCAGCCATCACCAGTCAAGAGCCTACTACCAGCCTCAAGAGCAGGATAAAATTATTAGTTCAGACCACACCTGCCACAGCTGACACGTGCCAGGATCAATATAATTTTAAAGTGAACTTTGGAAATTCTCCATCTTTATATATATATATATATATATATATATATATATATATATATATATATATATATATATATATATATATATATATATATATATATATATATATATATATGTCGTACTTAGTAGCCAGAACATACTTCTTGGCCTACTATACAAGGCCCGATTTGCCTAATAGGCCGAGAGATTGTCTTTATTTTCAATAAACTGTTTCCAATTAGTTTATTTGAATTATTATTATTATATTATATTTGGAACATAAATTATTGACTTAGTTGTGTTAGTTTAGGTTAGGTTTAGATAGGTTAGGTAGGGTTGGTTAGGTTCGTCATATATCTACGTTAGTTTTAACTCAAATTTAAACAAATTAACTTATACATAATGAAATGGACAGATTTATCATTTCATAAGAAAAAAAAAATAGAAAAACAAATAAATTCAGGAAAACTTGGCTTATTAGGCAAATCGGTCCTTGCATAGTTGGCCAAGTACGACGTTCTGGCTACTATGCTGCTATGGCGGTATGTCCACTCACAAGATGAGTGGCGCTGCCCAATAAACTCGCCCCTCGGGGCAAAATTAAAAACAAATTAATACACGGATACCAATACTCATACTAATGGAAAATATTTAAAATAGAGATTATTTCCATTTTAACCACAAATCTGGTGTTGTTTACCTTTTTAGTTGTGGGTGGCCCCTCACCACACAGACTGGACACTTGGGCAAGTTGTGTCCTGCGCTGTACGAGATCGCTGTCAAGCCACGAAACACTTTCACTCACAGCAGTTTAATTGTACTGACTTTCAATTCTTTTTAATTTTTTTAACTCGAACATTGCAACTCATTGGGATCTATTCACGTCACCAATCTGAAATCTAGAGTTGAAAAACTCAGACTCTTATACTCTATGGTTTACTCACTACTTTTCTTCCATTACAAGTTTGTTGTTATTAGGACATTTTTCAATTTAATTTTGTAAATTTGTTAATATAACTTTTTATATATTTCGATTAGATTTTTATTGTCCTAAGTCTCGTAATTACTGCTAATTTTCATAAAATTTTGAACATTTTAAGCTAATTCCGTTCGGAGAAGTTTTATTAATTTCGTTTAGCACTGATGAGTGTCTGGGACACTGACATATTAAGACAATATTACAAATTGTTACAGATACATTTCCACCATTTCGCTTGTTTGAAATCTGCACTGACGTCACGGCAGCGTTCCATTTGCATTAATCAACAAACCTGTTATAGGTAGGCATCTGTTTCAAAACGTTTACCAATGGGTGAGATAATTTTTTGTGGACTGCGGGTCTTTTGTAGCTTGTTTATTGTTGTAATTTGTTTTAAATAGTTTGATTATCAATAATTCTGCTCCATGACTTAGTCACAGTGTGGCTTTGTATTCTGGCTTGTCAACGCTAAAATATCAGATCCGGTGTAATAACGTAATCTCACCCTTGTTAGTTCTTGTTTTGTGCAAAGTGCCTGGTTGGGGGGAGATGGGGGGGGGGAGGTTGAAATAGCCTAAGCTACTCTATCCCTTTGAGATGTATTTTTCTCCTTAGTCTCAATAAACATACTTGAACTTGTGCTAAGTGAAGCGGTTTTTGCTCTCATGGTTTCCTATGTGGGATCTCCCAGTCTGTTTCTCAGTGATTAAAGTCACCAATTATCAGGTCATTTTACAACCTTCCTATCGGCAACTACGGTTTATCTTTCTTATATTTTTGTATAGTGCTCTTAAAAAAAAAAAAGAATCAAGATTTACCTTTGTACAAATAGAAGCGGAATGTATATGAAGTCAATATTGATTCAATTTTAAAGTTAAATATTAAAATCTACGCGAAATCGGCATATAAATTTTGGTAATGACAGTCAGTAGGAAGAGTAAGTTTAATTATTTGTATTTACATTATTTATTATTCAGTTTAACTATTATATAGTATACAGCTCTGAAAACACAATAATAATAAAAACAATTCTGCGTATCCAAAATAATTGATTTATTTTTTTAGAGTCAAAGTAGGTGATGTTATGCTGAAGGTCCCATTGAAGTCACAAAATGAGGTCACGCTGAAGGTCAAATTGGAGACCACAATGAAGGTCAGGTCAGATGTCTCATACCCCGGCGGTGGGTGCCACTGTACTAGGCAATGACTCATCTTGCTGATCCTGGTCTTTAAGCGAAAGCTCCTCTTGGTGGTACTGGGTATGGGTATAGCCTCTGCTACCCTTCTTGCCCTTATGTCCCCTAGGTCCTGGGGAACCCCTAATGTCCTCCCCAGGGGCTCCGGCCTCTCCTCGCTCACCCTGACAATCGCATGGCTGTGGGTACGGAGTAAAGGCATGTAAGACAGGACTATTGTGAGAATGGTGAGAGTTATGGTCAGTGTTGGTGTGTGCTGTGAGTTACGGAGCAGGAACCAGCTGATGATGGTGTTATCATTGTAAGTGTTCTATCAGTACCTGCATGTGGTACACGCTAGAACAACACTAGTGTTAGATTTAATTAAGGCCTATCATCCTCTGGAGGGTTATTAACGACATCACAATTGCTTACCGACCACTGAGACACACCTTGCAGTTTTGTATATCCCTTGGCTAGAGCAACTTGTGTCTACGGCCTGCCTGCGTTGCACGCTCCTGTGCAGCGCAGGCAGGCCGTAGTGGTACATATCACAGAAACATACATTATAATTACAGGTATTTATCTTTAACCTTGTTGGTTTTGTGCTTCATCAAATACTCTACAAATTAAAGCATGTGCTACAATTAATTCTTGTGCAATAGTTAATTACTTAATCTGGTTTATGTATTTTTTTTAGAATGGGTACCCGGCGGTGCTCGGGTCCCTGTCTCTCTCAACGGCCTGCATGGAAAACTTCGGATGCCCTATGATGATATTTGAGGTTATCCTCAAGTGTATTTTGTATGGTATTAGGTATTATGAGTAGGAATTATGGTATTATATTATATTATAATATGGTATTTGGTACCGGGCACAGCTCAAGGTACCTACTACCAGCAGGATATGAAAACTTTATCATAAGCTATGGAACGTCAATTTTTAAAGCGACTACAGAGGTAATAATACAGCTATCAACAACAGGGCAAGATTCAGCACCATCTATTGGCATAACAATGCACTATCAGCAGGCCAACAGCAGCCCATAAGACCGGTTGCTGGGCTAAAGGAAGCATTCCCGCACTTTCATCTTATTGGTGGAAAATCTAAGTTGACATTCATCACAACAACCAATCACAGGAAGGTATCATCACACCACCCCTGTTTATAGTGTTATGTTTCAACTCTAATCTATCCAAAAAGTGAAAATTTCAAACATTTGAATTTGTTAGTTAAGTGGCAATGAAATATGGTAGGATATAACCGTTGTTATACAAAAATAACCTGGCTACCTAACCTATGACGTCCTCAGTTGGTGAACTTTATGCTAAATTCTGCCCCTCCAACACCCTTTCTCACTGTATTTTGCAGGTTGTCCTATTATTGATAGTATAATTTTATTCTGATAGATGGCGTAAGCTGTACGTTATAGGTGTTGTTGACCAGGCCTGCTGTTAGTGTGCTTTTCTAACAAATAGATAAAATCAGCTGTATTATTTAACTCAGTATTCCCCCATAAACATTGACATTCAAATTTCAAAAGTTACTTATCGTATACTATTTTATTTCACCCATTTTATACATAAACTGTATACTAAAATATTATATAAGTTTATATTAATTTATTCCAATAATATTATTTTATACTAATATACTATTTTATTTCATTCATGTATTACAGTAAAGTAAATATTGGGCTACCCTGTATATCAAGGTACAACCAACTTATATATGCAAAACTAATCCTGATATTATATCAAGTTATTATTAAGAATTGATTTTTAAAGCACATGTAATAATAATCTCCCGGCACCTTGGGCCGGGAGATCTATCAAAAGACGAGTTAAATTCAAGTCATTATTTTGATTTTTAAACTTAAGCTGCAAGTATTTACTATAAAAATATAATTGCAAATGTATACTTGCCATTTAATGATATTATATTAAGGAATTTTTTATTGAAAACACGTTTTAGTAATTATTGATGAAAAAATCACACCTCCAGCCCATGACAGGCTGCAAAGCTCAAGAATCGGTGGAATCGTCAAATTTCGCAAAAGTCAAAATCACAACCAGCCATAGAATCATTTTCAAAATGTGACCATTGGATTTACCACACCCTATTAGTTTCATTTATGTTAAGTTTTTCTTTGCTGATTTATAAAACCTTTGGAGTTATATTTATCGAGATGCAGCCGATTCAAGTGTGAAAAAAATCCTGACATTTTCTCAAGACATTATTAAGACAAGTGAGTTGAAGAACATGTACTAATAATTAAAATGAGCTTAATAATAAATGAATAATAAAAATATTGACATTTCTTCATTCCTCATTTACGTAGAAACTTTATTTCTTGAAGCATTCTGAATTTTCTCATCATTTATTCTCGGTCATTTTGTTCTAAATTTGTATTATTCCATTCCATGTGCATCATTCTGTTTGGCCCCTTTTATTAGTCAATCTAACCCTCAAAGATTCACAAATATCTGCCAATTAAACCAGCCAAATGTCTAAGCCATAATTTCGAAACTTCACAAAGGCAATGATTTATTAAAGCAATATACCAAATAATCTAATTTTAAATCTACAAAAATAGTAATCTAAAAATAATCTCATCAGCGATGAGCTACAGTTTACAGGAGCCTTTGATAAAAACCAAAAGAAGCATCTGCCTTTTCAGGCAACAAAAAATAACTAGTTAGAGGCGAAGTATTAGCAATATTGACAACGTTAATATCGTAATTATCATTAATATTATTATTATTTACGTTACCCCTTGGTTGCCAGAGCTTCCAGGAGCGCCCTTCTTGCCCGGAGGGCCCGGAGGTCCACCCGGAGGATCGTGGTGGCTGCTTTTCGAACACTGACCTTCCGCCCCTTTTCCCCCTAAGGGACCCTTTTCTCCTAGTCTTCCCTTTTCCCCCTTTGGTCCAGGGGGTCCTCTGAAGTCCGCTTCTGAAGTGTAGATTAAGCGCCATGATAATTATTTTCTACATTTATAGCATTACTATTAGCAACATTGAGACAATTACGAATATTAGTTATTATTATTGTTGAGAGAAAAGACAGAATGAAAGAAAAAACGCAATAAATGTACCATATAAACGTCAAACAATCTACACACAAACGACAAATAATCAACACATACACAAACGACAAAGGATACTCACCCCTAAACTTAGCATTGAGTCTCTGCATCTCCAGGCCATAAACTAACAGAGTGTCTTGCACACTTGCAAGGGATTCCAGCTTCTTCCCCAGCGCTTCCAGGCGGCGTTCCAGTTCTGCTGCGTTATACCTACAGGGGGGTCGGGGAGGGCGTTTCTGGAACGAGTTCGTATCGTGTCACGGACATGTTAATGGTCAAGGACATGGTTAAGGCAAAGGTCATGATTAAGCTCAATTTTATGAGTCACATGATATGGATACAATAGAATACTTTGAAATGAGAATACAATCAGAATAATACAGTTGGGCTGGAAACAATGCAACATAATAAAACATTCCTTTAGAGCTGGAGATTAAATAAAGTGTAACTCTTACCAGGGGCTCACCTGGGGTTCGTGGAGCTCATCTGGGGCTCGTAGGGCTCACCGAAAGCTCGTGGGATCACCTGAGGCTCGTGGGCTCATCATAGGCTCACCTGTGGTTCGTGAGGCTCAACCGAGGCTCATGGGCTCACGTGAGGCTCATCTGAGGCTTACCTATGGTTCTTGAAGCTCAACTGAGGCTTGTGGGGCTCACCTGATGCTCACATGAGGCTCACCTGTGGCTCATGAGGTTCAACTGAGGCTTGTGGGGCTCACCTAGCTGATGCTCACATGAGGCTGGTGAGGACCACATGAAGCTCGTGGGGCTCACCTTGGGGTCGTGGGCTCACCTGAAGTTCGTGGGCTTTCCTGGGGCTCACCTGGGAGTTGTGAGATTCACTTGAGGCTCGTGAGACTCGCCTGAGGCTCGTGGGGGGGGGGGGGTTCACCTGAAGCTCGTGGGGCTTACCTGGGGCTCGTGGGGCTGACCTGAGACTCGTGGGGGCTCACCTTGCAACAGTCGGTCTTGTTGAGTATACTGTAAAGGTCTTCCCTGGCGGGGCAGCAGTTGGGGCACGGGGGTTGTGCCACGGGTTGTCCTCCTGGGCACGTCCCTGGGGCACCTGGTAGTCCCATTGGCCCTGGGAATCCTTTCCCTGGGATGCCAGGAGCGCCACGGGGCCCACGTTCCTGGTTCCCTGGTCTTCCCTGATCCCCAATGGGCCCCCGGGGACAAGCAGGGCAGTCCCTGGAGGGGGGGCATCCAGGGGGGCATGGTTGTCCAGGGCGGCAGGGTGGGCATGACGTCCATGGACATCCTGGTGGACACGGATGCCCTGGGTAGCAGGTAGGGCATGGAGTTGGGGGGCACGCTGGTGGGCACGTTTGGCCAGGGTAGCAGGATGGACACGGGGAAACTGGACACCCAGAGGGACATTTCTCCCCCGGAAAGCAGGGTGGGCATGGGGATGGAGGACACTGAGGTGGGCACGGCTGACCTGGGTAGCAGGAAGGACACGGGTTCTGGGGGCATCCAGGTGGACAGCGGTACCCTGGGTAGCAGTCTGGACAAGGTGTCTGTGGACATCCAGGTGGACAGTCAGTCAGTGGGTAGCAGCTGGGACATGGGGTTACTGGACATCCTCCAGGACATTTCTGTCCTGGGTAACACGTTGGGCATGGCTTGAAAGTACATCCGACTGGGCACGTATCACCTGGGTAGCAATCAGGACATGGTGTAATTGGACATCCATTGGGGCATTTTTCTCCAGGGTAGCATCTCGGACATGGGGTTTGAGGACACCCAGAAGGGCATTGATCTCCTGAGTAGCAAAGCGGACATGGCGTTGGTGGACATTCAGCTGGACAATGGTCACCGGGATAGCAGGCTGGACACGGGGTACGAGGACATCCGAGGGGACATTTTTGCCCTGGATAGCATACAGGACATGGAGTTGGAGGACATACAGCAGGACAAACTTCTCCCGGGTAACAATTGGGACATGGCGTCTGTGGACATTGAGTGGGACATTTTTCACCAGGATAACAAGTAGGACATGGCGACACAGGACATCTTGACGGGCATTTATCCCCAGGGTAGCAATTTGGACAATGCTTTATGGGACAGTTTGGAGGACAAATGTCTCCTGGATAGCATTCCGGACACGGTGTTTGGGGACATCCAGCTGGACATCGATCTCCGGGAAAACACTCTGGACATGGTATTACTGGGCATCTACTTGGGCACTGTTCTCTTGAATAGCATATTGGGCACGGTGTCTCTGGACATCCACGTGGACATTGATCTCCTGGATAACAAAACGGACATGGAGTATTTGGACATCCGTAGGGGCAAGGATTCCCTGGATAGCATACTGGGCATGGCGTCGGGGGACATGTAGGTGGACATCGTTCTCCGGGATAGCAGTCAGGACACGGAGTTCTTGGACATCCTGAAGGGCATTTCTCCCCCGGGTAACAAGGAGGACATCGAAAGGGTGGACATCCTGGAGGGCAGGGATGTCCAGGAAGGCAAGCAGGGCAGGGGGTTTGAGGACATCCCGGGGGACACTGGGCACCTGGGAAACAGCTAGGACAAGGCGTTAAGGGACATCCCGAAGGACACGGCTGTCCTGGGTAACATTCGGGACACGGTGTCGGTGGACATTCTGGAGGACACGGGAAACCTGGATAACAAGCGGGACATGGTATATGAGGACATCCTAATGGACATTTTTGTCCTGGGTAGCAAATAGGACATGGAGTTCGTGGACATGCTGAAGGGCAAGGTTCACCTGGGTAGCAATCTGGACATGGGGTTTGCGGACACCCAGTTGGACACTTTTCGCCTGGGTAACAAAGAGGACATCGTCCACTTGGGCATGTAGGTGGGCAGAATTCACCAGGGAGACATGATGGACATGGAGTCTGTGGACATCCAGGTCTACACTTTTGGCCAGGGTAGCATTCAGGACACGGTGTTTGGGGACATCCCTCAGGACATCGATCTCCTGGGTAGCAAAGAGGACACGGAGTAAGGGGACACCCTGCTGGACATGATCTACCTGGATAGCATGGAGGACATCTCTCTTGTGGACATCCTATAGGACATTGGGCACCAGGGGGGCAAGGCGGACAAGGCGTTTGTGGACATCCTTTAGGACACGCAGTACCTGGATAGCACGGTGGGCATGTGGTTGGACACCCAATAGGGCATTGTGAGTTTGGATAACAAATTGGACACGGGGTTGCTGGACATCCTGGTGGACACGATGACCCAGGATAACACGGAGGACACGGAGTTTGTGGACATCCTTGAGGGCACCGAGAACCGGGATAACAGAAAGGACATGGTAACCGGGGACATCCTTCTGGACATGGACGTCCTGGATAACATTTTGGACATTTTGTACCTGGACATCCAATAGGACATGGGGTTCCAGGATAACAAGGTGGACATGGCGTGTGTGGGCATCCTGGCGGACACCAGTTTCCAGGGTAGCAAACAGGACATGTGGATGGTGGGCAGCCTTCTGGGCATACAGTTCCAGGATAACAAGGTGGGCATGGGGTATACGGACACCCTACTGGACATGGCTTTCCTGGATAACAAGGTGGACACGGGGTTCGAGGACATCCTGGTGGACAGGAACTTCCTGGGAAGCAAGGTGGACATGGCGTCTGTGGACATCCTGGAGGGCAGGGCGATCCAGGAAAGCAATATGGACATATATTTGGTCTTGGACAATAAGGACACAGAATATAAGGGGACATAGGATCGGACATTGGACATCCGAGAGGACAGTTAACTCCTGGAGTGCATTCAGGACAAGTAGCTTGTCTCTTCGCGAAGATTTTCTCGTTCAGGACGGAGAGAATGGCGTCCAGTGCATCTCCATAAGGAGACCTCTTCCATGCTCCAGGATGCAACGAAGAGTTGACTCGCTGAAGAACCGCTGGGTGAACAGCATCCAGGTGAGGGGAGAAGAGGTCATCTGCAAGGCCTTCCAGAACTGCTATTTCAGGGTCGTTAATGGATTCCAGGAACGCGAGAGACAAGGGAAGGATGAAGGCCCAGACGATGGCCAGATTCCATGGCGGGGCCCGCTCCCATCGTACCATGGCTGGAACATACAAAAGAATCTCTGGAAAGCATACAGAGAGATTCTTGGGATCGGATTCTGGAAATCAAAGATCACCAAGAAAGTTGAATTTATCAGTAACTCTTGTTACTTGTTGCCTGGAGTAGACAAGACTGGAATGAGGCTACACATTAGCTTTTCCATTCTCACTTTAATTTGGAGTCTCGCAAAAGCATTACTGGAAAGGTGGGATTAACAAACAAAATATAGCTGACTCACTGGATATTTTACATTATTTACTTTTTGATTAACGATAACCGCACTTTAAGGGTTAAGACAACTAAATTATTTTGTAAGAAAATCATTCCTACAAAATAAAGCTCTCTGGAATAGTTACACGCAAACATGGAATATACTCACTGTATAATCAATCAAATAATGAACCAATTTATAAGTAAAAAAATAAATTAAGGTAACACTGAAGAAGTAACGATATATATCATTAAATAGACGAAAACATTGGGTTAGTTTGGAAGTATTCTGCGTCTTTCCTGAACTTTATTCTGATTGTCCCTTCTTCTTTCTCCCTCTTCTCTCTCCTCCCCTTCTACTCTTCCTTTCCCCCCCTCTCTCTCTCTCTTTTCTACCTGTCCTTCCACGTCTCTATATCTTCACTTCAGTTACATCCATCACTGCATTCCTCTCCCTCTACTTCTACTGTTTTCTCTCATCACCTCTTCTTCTCTCTCTCTCTCCCTCCCATACATCCCAGCGCTATATAGTCGTAATGGCTTGGTGTTCATCCCCCAGATAAACCCAATCCCTCCCATACATATCTTCCCTCTCCCTCCCACACACTCCTCTCTGCCTCCTCCTCTCTTTCTCTATTCTTCTGTCTGCCTCTTCATCTAATCATCCTGCCTTCCATGAACCCACACACTCACAGACCCTCAAACTCACACACCCATAAAACTCACAAACTCACAATCTCAAACACAACTGTAGCAGTGCATCAGTATTCAATATTTGTATCCCTGCACAGTTTTCACTGTATCCTGTACCGTGTTCATTGTATACTGTACCGTGTTCACCGTATCACTGTGCCGTGTTCACTGTATACTGTACCGTGTTTACTGTATCCTGCACCGTGTTCACTGTATACTATACCGTGTTCACTGTATCCTGTACCGTGTTCACTGTATACTGTACCGTGTTCACTGTTTCCCTGTGCCGTGTTCACTGTATCCTGTACCGTGTTCACTGTATCCTGTACCGTGTTCACTGTATCTCTGTACTGTGTTCACTGTATACTGTACCGTGTTCACTGTATCCTGTACCGTGTTCACTGTATCCTGTACCGTGTTCACTGTATCCCTGTACCGTGTTCACTGTATCCTGTACCGTGTTCACTGTATCCCTGTACCGTGTTCACTGTATCCCTGTACCGTGTTCACTGTATCCGGTACCGTGTTCACTGTAACCCTGTGCCGTGTTCACCGTATCACTGTACCGTGTTCACTGTATCCCTGTACCGTGCTCACTGTATCCCTGTGCCGTGTTCACTGTATCCCTGTGCCGTGTTCACTGTATCCCTGTGCCGTGTTCGCTGTATCCCTGTGCCGTGTTCACTGTATCTCTGTACCGTGTTCACTGTATCCCTGTGCCGTGTTCACTGTATCCCTGTACCGTGCTCACTGTATCCCTGTGCCGTGTTCACTGTATCCTGTACCGTGTTCACTGTATCCCTGTACCGTGTTCACTGTATCCTGTACCGTGTTCACTGTATTCCTGTACCGTTTTCACTGTATCCCTGTACAGTGTTCACTGTATCCCTGTACCGTGTTTACTGTATCCCTATACATTGTTCACAATGTCGCTGTACCGCTGTATCATTTCACTGTACTCCATCGCTGAATTAAAGTATTCTTGAACAACTGTATCACTGTACCACTGTACCACTGTGTTACGGTCGATAAATATAGCTGTTTCTCTGCCCTGGTGCACCACTGAGTCAATATACTCAAGCTCACTGTAGTGTCCACTGTATTACTGTAGCGTCCATTGTATGAGTGCAGTGTCCACTGCATAACTGAAATGTGCAATGTATTACTGTAGTGTCTACTACAGTGCCCCCTGTATATTTGTAGTGTCCACTGTATCAATGTAGTGTCCACTGTAGTGCGCACTGTAACACTGTAGTGTGTGTGCTGTATTACTGCAATGCCCGCTTTAGTGTCCACTGTTTCAGTGTAATGTCCACTGTAATGACCATTGTAATGTCCACTGTATTTCTGTAGTATCCAATGTATCTCTGTAATGTCCACTGTATTACTGTAGTGTCCACTGTATCACCATATTGTCCACTGGATTACTGTAGTGTCCACTGTATCACTGTAATGTCCACTGTATTACTGTAGTGTCCACTGTATTACTGTAATGTCCACTGTACTACTGTAGTGTCCACTGTATCACCATATTGTCCACTGTATTACTGTAGTGTCCACTGTATCACCATATTGTCCACTGTATTACTGTAGTGTCCACTGTATCACTGTAATGTTCACTGTATTACTGTAGTGTCCACTGTATCACCATATTGTCCACTGTATTACTGTAGTGTCCACTATATCACCATATTGTCCACTGTATTACTGTAATGTCCACTGTATTACTGTAGTGTCCACTGTATCACCGTATTGTCCACTGTATTACTGTAGTGTCCACTGTATCACCGTATTGTCCACTGTATTACTGTAGTGTCCACTGTATCACCGTTTTGTCCCTGTATTACTGTAGTGTCCACTGTATCACCGTACTGTCCAGCCTCTGCTAAGCCCTCACCAAATATCACGAGACATTACAGGCCAACTAAGACCAGACTGGCTTGCTTACCTCCCTCGCCTGTGTGTTCAGGGCAAGACTTCTGATGGTCTCAGCCAGTCCTGGTGAGCGCGATGGCTGGACCTTGATGGGAGAAGAGAACATGGAGAGAGAGAGAGAGAGGGGGGTGGGGGAGAGAGAGATGAGGGGGGGGGAGATGCGTGAGGGGGGGTGGGGTTAAAAAAGTGAGAGAAAGAGAGGGGTTTTAGTGGGAGGGTAGAGAAGGGGGGGGTTAGAGCTAAAAATACAATCCTCTCACTTGAGCGATAACTGGAGGAGGAGCCTATCCTTGGGAAGCTTGTTAATACATCTTCAAAGTAACGCTTAATCTTTAGCTCTGGCGGGTGTTAAGGGCGTGTGTAAAACTGGCCACAGTTGATCCAAACGTCTCGCGTCCTTCGCCTCCCTCGAGGGGTAACTTGCTTATACAAATGTGCTGGAAAAGATGACAACAAACGATACAGCGGGAAAGATATTTTCGAGCAGGACCTCCTTGCCTCCCTTCCCCTCAGTGACCCCTCGCAGACTCTCCCCCTCCTCCCCATCCCCTCACCCCATCCCCTCGCAATACAACAAGGAGTAGCTGTTGTGTGGAGGACCTTGCATACTGTTGATGCTATGTACATGGTGTGGGTTCAGTAGGAATTAAGCCACCATGTTGTGGCTTAACTAACAATACGTAAATAGCTACATTGAGTTAGACCTTAGTAAAGCGAACAACTGAAGCCCCTGTATTTATCTGTGTTAACTGTAGTCTGTCATTCATTATACCTCCGGAGGTGTTAAACAAGTGAACAACCCAGTGGGTTTTCTTCCTGTTGTGGGGTGTTGTACATGCTGCTATGGCGGTGTGTCCACTCTCAGGATGAGTGGCGATGCCCAATACTGTCAATATGGCGGTGTGTCCACTCTCAGGATGAGTGGCGATGCCCAATGCTGTTAATATGGCGGTGTGTCCACTCTCAGGATGAGTGGCGATGCCCAATACTGTCACTATGGCGGTGTGTCCACTCTCAGGATGAGTGGCGATGCCCAATACTGTCAATATGGCGGTGTGTCCACTCTCAGGATGAGTGGCGCTGCCCAATACTGTCAATATGGCGGTATGTCCACACTCAGGATGGGTGGCGATGCCCAATAAACTCGCCCCCTCGGGGCAAAATTTTAAATTTACTATGGGTGGAGTGATGTTACCCATATTAACATTAACTCGAAACATTCAGTTCAAACTTTCACTCAAAACACTTCTCTAAACTCTTAATATAACTCTCAACATTCATCCTAAACATTGGCTGCTTAATTTTGACCCTGTCAATGTTTCTTTGGGACTTTCTTATACATAGTATATCTTATACTCAGGTATTTATATTCCTCTGCTTGTCCCAAGACTATCTAGCATGCCTATCGTCTTCTGGGTCATGGTTTTCATAGAACCATCACCCACAACTTGCTGCTAAACAAAATATATCAAAACTCTTTTATTTTCTTTCTTGCATGGTAAACCCTAAGCTTTAGGATGTTCTGGAGTTCCTTGGTAACGAGAAATAGACCATTGCGTCGTTACTCACGATACACCTCAAGTCGGATTCTATCGATAACAGCGCTAAGATTCTAGTGTTTTTGTGGAATTTTTAAGCAACTAATTTAGTACGCTTTTTCAGACTAATAAGCTAGGTGGGATTATTTCAGTTAGCCCCTTTTATTGTCATGGAAAAATCACTTCAAATCAGACACTTGTTGGGTCATGAATCCTGATTATTGATAAAGCAACTCTGTCCTTTACGTTTCGCAAAAATTTTCTGAGCCCTTAACAAATTAAAAGAAAAACAAGAAACATTCCGTTAGTGCTAAACAACATGCTATGGTCAAGAACTTCTGTACTCATCTGTCAGTTAATGTGACTTAATTACTAGACACCGACCTGGGAAATGCTGGCATTCATTCTCCAAACATTTCTTCATAAGACAAGTGGCTAAACTCTTCAGTAATTTATTGTTTAATAACTAACTTGCTCCATTTTGCGTAGCAAGACAGTTGATAAACAATATATGTTATTATACAAAAGCACACGAGTGAACTCTAGACACATGAGTTCACTCTGAACCTGGACTATGTTCAGGATTAAAGTTCATTTGCTGGTTGATCAGTAAGCTGTTGTAATGGCCTTAATAGCCCTCCAGAGGTTGAAAGGCCTAAATAAACCTTCAGATACAGATGAAAAGTCACAATAATGTGGCTGAAAAATGTTGACCAAATCACCCACTAGAAATTGAAGAGACGACGACGTTTCGGTCCGTCCTGGACCATTATCAAGTCGATTGTGTCGTCTCTTCAATTTCTAGTGTGTGGTTTGGTCAACACACCTTCAGAGGTTTATAGGTCTTAATAGTCCTCCAGAGATTGATAGGCCTTAACCCTTCCAGATAAAGTTTAGAGTTCCAACTTCACTTGGAAATGCTCTTTTCGTGAATTTTTAATGTTCATTATTCGTTTTATCCAGATATGAAATTTAATTTCCATAAAGAGGAGTTACTAGTGAAATAATCTGAAAACAAATTGGTAGGCCTATTAGGTTGTTGGGCCTAAAGCTATGCACCAAACCAGACTTTCACATTTAATTTAACTAATATTTGTAAGGTTAATTAAACAAGTTTTATGTTGAAATGTTTATTGACTTAAAATAATATGAAAATATTTCGCCATCTTCTGAAAGTTAGTCAGCTTCCAGGTGTGGGTGACAGCTGACAGGTGTGGGAGACGGTTTCCAGGTGATGTGAATGATACCTTCTTAGTCCATTACAAAAATCTCCCTTCACAAGGAAGATGCAAGCTATTGATCCAGACAGCTCCCTTCAAGTTCCCTTCCCAGCTTGTCACTCCCGTAGCTTCACAAAGGAAACATTAGAAATACTCCTCAACACTAATGATAATAAAGTCTTGGTTCTAGAGAGTGTCTCCATAACCATGGCAGACATCCTTCTCCTCTTGAAGCCACCTTTCACGGGTCATAATTGAGTCACAGGCAATAGATAGATATCAAATCAGAATTCAAGTTCAATATTCTTGCTCTCGTTTGTTGCCAACATGTTTGACAAATTGATGTTCATATAGTTGAATAACATATTAAAAAATTTTTTTTACTAGGTAGCAAGACATTAATTGTTAATATTATAGCAATACTAAAGACCTGCAATACTAAAGATGAGAGCAAACAGGAAAAAAAAGTCTTTACTGTGAAAGAGGAGTCATATCATGACCTAGAATTTTACTTGGGTAATTAAAAGTGGTTTGACAAAAGAGGACTATTATGTGTTAGCCTAAATGAACTACGGTAGATGAAAATATTTTGTGCCTTCTTGAAAACTTCTTAAATACGTGAAACTGTCAGGGCGGCCAGCAATAGCTATTCCTCGGGCAAATAAGTAGTTGAATCTAGTGGGGCTCAAAGGGAGTTTGACTGGATCACTGCACACTCAATTTTACCGGAGCTGGTTAAGAGTTGGGGCCCCGTATTCCCTTGAGCCCCTTGGCACCCGTTGGCCCAGGTGGCCCCTTGACGGTCTGGCCAGGGGCGCCACCTTCCCCTGGCTCGCCGTCACACCCGCAGCGCTTGTCCCCTGGATGGCCAGGAGCGCCTTTATTTCCAGGAACCCCCACAGCACCTGCCGGAGGGGAAGCGGAGGAGGAGATGGTGCAAGTTCCAGGGACTCCGATGCTTCCTAAGAGCCCCTTGTCTCCTTTCTGTCCCTTAGGTCCAGGGGGCCCTGGCTCACCTCGCTGCCCAGGGACTGTGGAACGTAGTGGTTGTTAGAGAATTATTAAACATAAGTTGAAAATATGTTTTCAAGTAAATCTGGAAAGTTTAACTGACATTCTCAATATCACACTGAATAAGTTTGTCTTAAGCATACACCAGACATACTTACATCTCTTAAGCATACACCAGACATACTCACATCTCTTAAGCATACACCAGACATACTCACATCCCCTCTTAAGCATACACCAGACATACTCACATCTCCTCTTAAGCATACACCAGACATACTCACAGCCCCTCTTAAGCATACACCAGACATACTCACATCCCCTCTTAAGCATACACCAGACATACTCACATCCCCTCTTAAGCATACAAAAGGCATACTCACAATTCGGATTATTTTGAATCCTCAGAAGCAGGCTGGCGTGGACCTTGATCCTGGTCTCCACCTTATCCAGCTCCAGCAGGCGGGCCTCCAGCGCGGCGAGGCGCACAGACAACATCTCGAAGTCAAACTGGCATTCTGGACGTGGACTCTTGCCCTGGTGGGGAAGAGGTGGAGGAGGACGATCAATGTATATATTAACGTGGGGACATTTATTGGCGTGAGGTATTATTGACCTGTGGTTATTCTTGGCGTGTGGCTATTATTGATGAATGGCTATTAGGTGTAATAATACCGGAAGTAATATAAGTGGAATTAGTACGTATGAAGAGGACGTTTATGTAGCGGTTGTAATAATGATCAATACAACTGAATGAGTAGGAATTGCTCCGTGTTGTTAAGAGAGCGCAGGTCAATAATATCCAGGGGGGGAAGCCCACTTATCGGCCTGGAGCAGGGATTTCCAACTAGCGGTTCCGAGGACCACTGGAACCTAACATATCAGCTAGGAAAGGATTTCACGAGATTTTACGAAATATTTCAAGGCTTCTTCCAGACACAAAGGTTGGGGGACTCACTGGGCCAAGAGGGAACTTGGTTGAGCCTCTCGGGGTTGCTGGCCAAGACAATGGGGGGAAAAAAATATTGTTTAAGTTTATTTTAAGTGTGGGTGTATGTGCCTGAGGCGGGAACTATAAGCCACCGCCGTCTGGCGTTGACGGTCTGCTGGTGGACATAGCGACTCTAGCTTGGACTTGCACTTTGTTATCTAGCTTGGACTTGCACTTTGTTATCTAGCTTGGACTTGCACTTTGTTATGACATAATGTTTGGCGAGACAACAGATTCGACGCAGAATGCGCAGTAGACCGGAGAATACTTACCCTGCACCTCTTGGCGCAGTCTTCGTTAATGCACCCGGGTCTTTGATACCTGACGATGTGCTTCAGTTGATCCAACGGGCTGTAGTGGCTGGGCAGCGGCGTGGCGCGTGGACAGACATGCTGGTATGCCGGAGGCTGCGCTGGTGCTCCACAGGGAGGGAAAACACATTGTCTTTTGATTCTGGAGGAACTGTTAGAGCTCCCGAAAGGCGAAACATCTTTTAAATCGATGTCCGGGGTTCCGGTAGCGCTTCCAGCGGCCGGACCTCTCGCCTTGTCCTTTCTGACTCCGAATTTCAAGCCATCTGTGAGTGACTGTATGGCCTGGTCGAGACTCCGGACCTGTGGAGCCCCAGACGGACCCAGTGAGGCGGTGTCGTCGGGAAGGCCTTCGGTGAGCGCCTGAGGAGCCCCAAGAAGAAGGAGCACCACAGCCTGCAGGAGCATACTTCTCCACCTGTACCTGTCCGGGGAGAAAGGGAGATTAGTCTCGTGTGGTTTAGTGTTGGCGAGTCAGACAATCCGGTAAGTGGGTTCTACTCGAAATAGAAGATTTAAGTACTCAGTTCCTGATCCTTTCCTACACTAGGTTGCAAACATGATGATAAAGTTGATGCTCCCTTGCCATGCTTGCGAATGGGGTCCACTACCACTCATAGGACGGGTATGGGGTTCACTACCACTCACAGGACAGGTATGGGGACCACTACCACTTACAGGACGGGTATGGGGTCCATTACCACTCACAGGACGGGTATGGGGGTCCACTACCACTCACAGAACGGGTATGGGGGTCCACTACCACTCACAGGACGGATATGGGGTCCATTACCACTCACAGGACGGGTATGGGGTCCATTACCACTCACAGGATGGGTATGGGGACCACCACTACTCACAGGACGGGTATGGGGGTCCACTACCACTCACAGGACGGGTATGGGGTTCACTACCACTCACAGGACAGGTATGGGGACCACTACCACTTACAGGACGGGTATGGGGTCCATTACCACTCACAGGACGGGTATGGGGGTCCACTACCACTCACAGAACGGGTATGGGGGTCCACTACCACTCACAGGACGGATATGGGGTCCATTACCACTCACAGGACGGGTATGGGGTCCATTACCACTCACAGGATGGGTATGGGGACCACCACTACTCACAGGACGGGTATGGGGGTCCACTACCACTCACAGGACGGGTATGGGGTTCATTACCACTCACAGGACGGGTATGGGGTCCACTACCACTTACAGGACGGGTATGGGGTCCACTACCACTCACAGGACGGGTATGGGGTCCACTACCACTCACAGGACGGGTATGGGGTCCACTACCACTCACAGGACGGGTATGGGGTCCATTACCACTCACAGGATGGGTATGGGGTCCATTACCACTCACAGGACGGGTATGGGGTCCACTACCTACTCGTGTATACAGTTGTTAATACACCCATGTATACAATTATTAATACACCCATGTATACAATTATTAATACACCCGTGTACTGTTATTAATACACCCGTGTATACTGTTATTAATACACCCGTGTATACTGTTATTAATACACCCGTGTATACTGTTATTAATACACCC